AACTTGCACGTCCGTCACAAATTTGGGACCGCGTCATGGCGCTGTAGGGATGCCGTAACTTAAGAGAAAGATGAGTGCGTCCTTTTAAGGACTTTTGGGGGATTCTCACATGGGGGTAATGGATTTTGGAGAGGATGAGCTCGAGGTTTGAGGCAAGAAGGTTGAGGAGACGATTTTCGAGGGCTCGTGATTGTGGAGATTGAGTCGGGGACGGTCAATCGACACTACAGTTTTAGTTTCTCTCCTTTCCCTTATCTTTTTTAGATTTATTATGAAATTCTTTGTGGGATTTTATTGTATTTTCGTGAACATGAGTAGCTAATCTTCTTGTTCTAGGGATTGACGTAGTCGTTGGATTTATTAACATTTGTCTTGATTGATTTGTTTTTAATCTATTTATGCATTTATTTACTTAATGCTTTTAATCTCTTGATCACGGATTAATTGTTGCTAAATCCGAATCTTATGCTCGGGAGAGGTGGTTTAGATTGGAACCTGAATGCATGACTGGGGTAGTTCTAAGATCGGGAGATTTAGAATTATCTTAGGGGTTGTTAAAAGATTAAGACTTAAGGCCATCTTTGTTAATGAAACTAGATAGGGATATTGGTTTCTTAACGAGTGGGAGAATTAATTGTGCTCGGGAGAGACTTTTATGATTCTTGATTTCTTGACTTATAGATTAATTGCATATTCAATCTTGGCAGGTTTAATTTGTCTGCTTATAGGTTCAATTGGTGAAATCATTTCCCTAGGACCCGTTATGACCCGTTCTCCATAAGAGTTTTCTTAGAGTCTTTTTATTCACTTTGTTATTTTATATTTTGTGTGTCAAAAGAAATTCCCGATTGTTTCTTTAGATAAAATTGGACATTAATATTCGTAGTACTTTGAGTGACTAGAAACCCAATCCAGTGGACAATCTCGGTAATTACTTACCACCTTTATTAAAACTTGACCCATACACTTGCAGTAAGCAATTTCTGCTACAAAAGGCCCGTGTACTTCTTATCACCCAATCAACGTATGCCGCGTGTATGGTGAGAAGCGCTCCCAACAAACATCACGTTCATCTTTTGAGGTATGAAATTTGGGCTAATATTGTTATTTATTTTATACTTTTTGCTATATTCTAGTAAATTAGATAATTTATATGTTTATATTATCAAATATAAAATACTTCAGACTTTTATCATCTTATCAATGTAAAACACCTCCTTTAATTTAATATTTTGTTTTATTTTATTTCTCGTCCATTCACTTTCAGCTTGAAACTTATTATTTATTGAACACGATTTTAATACAGTGAATCATCCATTTCAAATCATCTCACATAGGAGAACACGTATGTAAAAAAATAGTTTTTTGAGATATGCATGAAGCCAAACTCACTCATATTTGATTCTCAAAATGGACACTAGTAATACCAAAATTTGTTACTCTTTCAACAAACATTAATGAATATTAGCATAAAAATTAAATCAAACTTTATCACCTCACTATTAGCAAAATAATAATAATAATAATAATAATAATAATAATAATAAATAAAAAATAAGGATCTTTGTATTTGATGGCCTCTTCGAATTACCATGTTTGATCAACCAAGCTTCAATTCGTTTAGTCTTCTCTTCCTCTTGCCCGTTGTCGCCGGTAGAAGAAGACATGATCTTTTGTCACTCATCCGTCGCTAAGTCTATGCCATAAAGTATTATAGTTTTTTTATTCTTTTTTATTTCCATCAGTATCTGGACCAGTTTTTGTGCATATCTTGACTAATCTCATAAAAAAATCATTTGACTCTACCACATTTAGTTGTCAAGGAAATTTATAGCATATTAGATCTTAGGTAGGTAACCACCATGGTTTGAACCCATTTCCTTTAAATTCGTAATTTATTTTGGTTTTGGACTACTAAGTCATTATATTACAGTTAGTAACCTAAATCTTAATTATATATATGTTTTGATTGGTAATTAAAAAAAAAAGGTTTCTCCGAAGATATATGTTAGGACAAATTATGTATTATTATTATCTTGTTGTCTGAATTAGTGGACTGTGCTTGTAATTAATAATATTTTTAGTATAATTTTTTTTTTGTGATTAATAATATCAATGATAGGGTAATTGAAAAGAAGTATACTGTGTCATGCATGTGAACTCGTGTTGAAGTTTAATGGATACAGTTTGTTGAAGTTTTTTATTTGATTTTTTAGGTTTTGGATGTGCTAATTAATCAAACTATGGTATTTGCTTTCTATACATGATTATTTATCTGGTGTTCATTCCTTTTTCTTTTCTTTTTTTTTTCTAATGGTTTAGTATTAACTATCTAGGAGTCTCGAGATTGCTAATGACTTACTATTAATAATAATTTTTTTATTCTCTTCTACAATTATTTTTAGTGAAATTTTACTTTAATAATCTTGATTAGTAGTGGGTAACATGTGAAAAATTGAACTATATATGGTTAAGAATCTCATATAAGAGACCTGTCAAAAGTTTATAATAGATATGGATTACTTCTCAATTAGTTTTAACATGGAATCCCATATCAGAGCCAAAATCTCAAACGAGCATTCAGTCCAAAAATGAGATTCGACCAAGTATTGATGAATCAAAAGAATTACGATCTTGAAGAGATATGTTAAAGATCTCAGATAAGGTTGGAGGTGACAAGGACCCGTGATTCTCTTTGGGAAGATATCTTTATTACAGCTTCCACTTGGTCGACCAAGTCTAACCTCTTTTGTCATTACAACATAGCTATCATTTCTCTCAATTTGATTGCCTTTACCTAGGCCTATTTTTTTGTGTATATATGTTTTTCACATACCACTTATGAATGGTACGTTTTCTTAAAATATATATAAAAGAAACCTAATAAATATTTATAATAGATATAAGTTACTCTTCTCATTACAGTTAGTTTTTAGATAAAACGTATGAATACTGATTTATATATTTATTTTTCTTTTATTATTAATCTCTTTACTTTTCTCAAATATTTAGATCCACAATTCATCTATTTCCCAACATCTTAATTCAGTCGATAGAGAATCCAATTCATTGAAAGCAAGAAACATATTTGACAATGTAGAGATCGATTAAAAAAAAAAAAACTAATCTTTGTCACACAAATTATTAATTTAAAAAACCAACAGACAAATGCTTACAAGAATTACAAACAAGTGCTTGAAATTTTCAGCACTCATTCCATCAGAACATATCCAAACTGAAATTAGAAAAAGAAGAAAAGTAGACAAAAATTTAAGAAAACACACATCTGATCTCCAAAGAGACATGACCACAAAGATATCAACAATAAAACTCAAAACACAGTGATTAAGAAAATTAAAAGAATGCTAATTTAGGAACACTGGAACTCAGAGGGAACCTTCTTTCCACAGACATTGACAAGCAAGCTCAAAGAAATGGGGATGTTAATGTTGATTCCAAGAATGTTCGCCTTGATGGCGGTGCAGAGACACACCGCTGCTTCTAGGTCGATAAGCCCGTCAAGCAGCGAGCAGCATTGCGTGTTAGGCAAGGACCCGACGAGCGCGCTGACCGGTCCATTCAGCAGTTTTGCGCACACGCCAAGCTTTAGGGCATCTCTAGGGCAGCTCTTGACTACAGGAGCCGGGTTAGGGTTAGGGTAAGGCTTCGGCTTTGGCTTCGGTGCGTGATCGTCGCAAGCGTGGCAGACGTTAACAAAGGCAAAGAAAACAAGGTTGAGAGCAAGAAAGATGGCAGCATTTGAAGTTGTTTTAGAATCCATATCTCCCAAAAAAGAGAAAAATGCCAAAAGATCTCTTAAAACTGTTGAATTGCTACCTTTTCTTTTCTTGTTTGTGAGTGTAGAAGCTGACACTGTGAGTATTTATAGTGAAAATTTGGCTAATTTAGAAGCAAATTGAGGATATTATAATGAGAAATTGGCCATGTGAAGATGGGGTTGGCATGGTGAGATGTGCTTCAGGTATAGGAATCTTTTATATTTGTTTTCCAAAGTTTTTGGTTTTTTGGCACTTTGGATCACAATTTTGACCTATTACCAAACTTGGCTTAGGAACTCCCGTGAACTTTGATTGTTTAATCAAATGATTTGAACAGGGGAAGAAAGTGATATTTTTTTGAGTTCTTTGTGTAGTTATTGTGTTTTATCATTTTGGTGTAAAGAAATTCCATTCTTCATTCCCCATCAAGATGGAACAACACAAATGCCTTTTTGAGTAGTATCATTCTCATTTGAGTTGGACCAAATCAATAATAAGATACTCAGTTGTTCTATGTTCGATTTGCTACTTTGGTACGAGGATCAATATATTTGATAATATTCTCGTTCTTTATTTCATTTCATTTCGTTTTCTTATCTTTAGTATTTTTAGAAGGAAAACAAAAAGTACTTGTGAAGTAATTGTTTCTTATTATGTATTTTTTTCGTGTACTTTTTAAAATTATTTCTCTAGTTTCTTTAAAATTTTTATTTAAAAAAATAAAGTTGTACTTGAAAAAAAAAATTTATTTATAGTTTTTTTTAGATAATTGTATTTATAGTTTTGAAAAACTAAAAAAGAACGCGAAATTAGTGGGCAATTGTCCCCCTCTTAATAAGTTCATCTTAGATTAAAAAAAAAAACAAAACAAAAAACAAACTTATATAAAAAGTCGGTCCTGAAGATTTTCCTGATTTACTCTTCTTCATTTTTTTTTTTCAATCCAACGACAAATGAGGGTAGGAGTTCGAATAGACGATCTTTGATCGGAAATACTGTAGGGAAATTAAGAGGTCGTAACAATTTTTCCTTTCATAATTATATCCAACAAACCAAAGCACAATCACATACAATGAGAGATTAAAGGAAAAATAATAACAACAAAAAGAAATTTATACTCCTAGCTCACCCAATAATTGCCATGTCCAGTCTTCCGTTTAGATGTGGACTCCACTAATATGAGATTGGTACAAGGCTCACAAATATCTCCCTAAGATATTTACTCTCTAGGAGTCCCAACAAAAACTCTCTAGCTTCTAAGTATTCTAACACACTATACTGATACATGAATGAAAAACCTACAAGAACCAAGATCTAATTACCCGAATACGTTGATTTTGATCTGCCCCAACTATGCTGTCAATACCCCGAACCGTTGCCTTAAAACTGCCACAAAAATGTATTATTTTTTACTCTAAAACCCTGAACTGCGTGTAAGGTAAAAATACCTGGGACACGTGGAGCTCATTGGTGTTCAAGGAATAAAGTGTCCCAGGCCCACCTCGAACCTGCCGAGGAGACTAGGTTCGCCCATCAACAAGGCTGTGTAAAAAGCCCCGGTCCAACCTGGACGGGTTCGATCTGCTCAAACCCGACAGGTTCGACGTGAAAAAGGACAAATGTAACCGCCGGTCGTGAGTACTGTCGGACTCGCCATCTATAAATAGAGGGCCTCATTTCCCACTCAAGTATTGAATTTGATCTCGAACTTTATATTGAACCCGACCTACACTGACTTGAGCGTCGGAGAGTTTGCCCTCTTGTACAGGTTCACTCTTAAGTTCAGGTGGAACCGGGAACCAGGTTAGAGCTTGGTTCGTTTAACAGCGTTGTGCAATTCTTTGCACAAACACAGCGAAACTGCAGTATTTATAATGTTGATACAGTGCCATGGTGTTGTCCCTAGCACTATGGTGCTACGGACAGAAAAATCCACACATGCCCGCCTTCATGACAGCTATCTCCTCGGCCTCCATGACCTGTAGCTCCACTTATTCGATTGTTTTTCATCTCGACTCGGTCTTGACTCGTTTCGACGTCAATTTGGTTCTACTAATCCCAACAAATACATGTCTAAACAATTGAGCTATTCTCCCGGTTGGAAATATTTTACTCTTCTAACTTTTATATTAAAAGGTTATATATATATATATGATGTAAAATTTTACGGTCTTTCTAAAAGTTTCAAGACTCCTACCCTAGCTAGCTAGGAGGTTCCTATTGTAAAGAATAAGTTACCACTGATCAGGGGTTACAAGGTTGCAAAGCCCTTTGTTGGAGCCCCTGGAGGAAGAAAATTACCAAACTTGCATAGTAATTAACTTCTAAATTTTTGCGTGTCAAAATACTTTTATTTTCAGAAGTTTTAAAACACTATATATTTTAGAATTTCAAGATGGCTAAGGCTTGATTAAAAGGAAAAAAAAAAATAAAGATTTTCTTTAATTTCTTAATTCTTAAACAAGAAATTAAGTTCTGTTTTCTAGTATTTAAAATATGTTTATGGTAGTCTTTTTTTTTTTTAATTTGTGCTCCGCTTATATTCTTAGTTTAAGAAAATCTTCAAATTTTGTAAGAACAGCCAGGAAAGTGCTGAATAATAATAAGGTGCATTATAACCAAGGTTTTAAAAATGTCAATATAGATGAAAATGTCAAAAGTCTTAATTTTATAGAAATGACGAAGGAAATATCGATAAAATTTTGATATCAATAAATATTTCTAAAATTAGTAATATTTTGTTGATATTATATATATATATATATATATATATATATATTTTGCAATGATATGAAAATATCTATTCATTCTTCATGTTGATATCAAATTCATTTACATATGAAAATATAGATAGAACTTTCAATATGACGACCAGATATTTAATGCCTTGACCATAGATCCTAAAAATTTAAGGTAATTATATAAGTACGTTTTGTTAAGGATCCCACGTTGAAAAGAGAGGGAACCTAACCATGGTTTATAATAGTCCATGAATATTAATAGGTTTTTATTAATATTCATGGAGTTCTATCTCAAAATCAATTTGCAATGAGAGGAGTAGCTCATGGCTATTATAAACCTATGTAAGGTCCCTTCAATTATGAATGTAGGATCCTTAATGTTGATGCAGAAATTTGGCCTTCTGGGATTTCGCCAAATTCGCACCAATCTTCTAGAATAAAGGGATCAACGAGACCTGCAAAACATAATAGTATTAAAGACTGGTGTGACTCTTGCCACACGGGCTCCAATGCTTAAGTCAGAATCAGAGTAGTAGAGTATAAAGTATGGGGTGCTGTGAGCATAACAAAGAATAGAGATTTGTCGTCCGGGTTTGACTTACTCCCCTATTTATAGAAGTTGAATCCTGATACATCTAAGAAATCTGGTTATCTGAATCTAAGGAGATTTTCTCCTGAATCTGAAGGCAAGATATCTTCCTTTTTGAATCCGTTGAATAAAGGGATTGAGATTTTCTCATCCATAGTAATAGCCCCCACTCTCAAAGTTGAAGATTATCAGACTTCTGTTTTGAAGGTATTTTGTCGTGTGGTTGGTTGCAATCAAGTCTCTTGGGCTCAGCTATATGGTTGCTTTTAACCCTTAGATTTTGACCTTGGGATCTAACTTTCAACAGGGCCAATGGTACTTCCTTTGGGTTTCTAACCTATTTGGCTTTTGTCCATGGTTTTATACCCTAGGGTTTACTCTTGGGTTTCTAACCTATTTGTCTTTTGCCCATGGTTTTATATCCTAGGGTTTACTCTTGGGTTTCTGATCTATTTGACTTTTGTCAATGGTTTTATACCCTGAGTTTAGTTGGAACCCTTGGGTTTATAACCTATTTGGCTTTTGCTTATGGTTTTATACCCTAGGTTTTGTTGACTGGTTTGACATGCCTGCTTCATGAGCTTGTCCTAGTTCGAGTTCCTTGACTAGCTATTGATTAGCTTACCCATGCCCCCACTTGAGGAGGTTTTGTTTGGACATCAAACAAATAATTTTCTCAAGCATAAAACATAGGAAATAATTAATTTACCTCAAATTTGAACATCATAGTAGAATAAACAACATGCTTAATTTTTATTTAACAATTCATCACCTTCAACCATCCCGAGCAAGAATAACTCTCGGTTTACCATCCTCCTCGGATGACAATCATCGTCGGAACGTTGTTGATCTCTCCAGAGTTCATATTGTTAGCTTTTAGATCTTAGTCGTCCCCACAGACGACGCCAATTGTTGATGCAGAAATTTGGCCTTCTGGGATTCCGCCAAATTCGCACCAATCTTCTAGAATAAAGGGATTGAAAAGACCTGCAAAACAAAATAACTTTAAAGATCGGTATGACTCTTGCCACATAGGCTCCGATGCTTAAGTCAAAATCGGAGTAGTTGAGTATAAAGTATATGGTGTTGTGAGCATAGCAAAGAGTAGAGATTTGTCGCCCTCCTTTATAGTTTGACTTACTCTCCTATTTATAGAAGTTGAATCCTCATACATATAGTAAATCTGGTTATCTGAATCTAGGGAGATCTTCTCCTGAATTGAAAGCAAGATATCTTCCCTTTTGAATCCGTCGAATAAAGGGGTTGAGATTTTCTTATCCATAACACTTAACATGCCCATTCAAGATCTTGGTCGGAAGGTCGCTTCTCTTTTCAATGGGGATCCTTAACATGCCCCTCAAGATTGTGGCTCTTTTTGACTCATCGATCTTAACCGGATCCTATTTTTGAATCGGTTATTTTTTAATCGGTTGCTCATTGAGCGTTTTGGGCTCTGATACCATATTAATATTTGTGGGGTTCCATCTCAAAACCAATTGGCAATGAGAGTAGTAGTCCATGTCTATTATAAACCTATGTAAGGTCTCTTCTTTTATCAACGCGGGATCCTTAAGAGACATGTACAATATGTATCTATATGAGTTCCACATCGACATCCATTACCCCAAAAAACCCTACATTAGCAGTTCGGGGCGGACAACCCAACCCTTGGAACATACTACAACCCCAGGTGGCTAAGAGCCGACATCGAGGTGTCGATTGCCCTTACT